GGAAAAAGTAACTACGAATGAGAAATAAACTGCACTCTGGGTACCTCTGATTTTTGCAATGTCCTCATCACCAATACATTGTTAAGAGATATTTTTGGAAGACTGTCCAGCTCTCACTGAGCGCAACCAAAAAACATTCAGTCCTCTGTAATGTACCTGCAACCAAGAGATGCAATTGTGATGACATCCTTTGATGCTAGCAACATAAGTTAAACTGCCTACGTGAAATACTGATGCATCAAGTAGCCAGGATGGGAAGGATACGATGCCAAATATGTTGCATTGCTGAACTGGCAATACAGGGTACTAGTAATAATGGGTGAAACTGCAAAACGTATCCAGAAGGAACAGAAGGAAATAAAACTATTTGTAGTGGCTATGGTATATTTTGTTATAATGCTTCTCAATGCTAATATAGTTCTGGTGTAACTTTAAGGCAATTGCCTATGGAATAACTATTTCTGATACCTTATTGCAGCCTACTTATCCAAGTCCATTAGTTAAATCATACTTCAAATCTCTCATCTATATTCATCAAAATCACAAGGCTTAGTTCTTAACAAATGGTTCTTAAAGCAATAAAACCAGTTGTAGAGAGGATCTCAGGCTCATGGTATTTGGGTGAATTCATAGTGTGACATGGCAATTGTGACATCACCTGAAGTGCAGAACTGAATCATCCTGGCCTGGCCCCTATTAATTCCCCAATACTGCATTCTTGTTTACATGTAAACATAACAGGACTTTGTTAAGCAGCAAATCACACCTGAAGGGGATGGAAACCAGTTTACTGATGTCTGAACAGGGGTTAGCAGTCTGCTTTCTTTGTGCTATTAAGGAAGTAGTACATCACCTTTAAGCTCTAGCCCTGCTTTTACAAGTGCCTTAAAACCAGGCTGGGAAAACTATAGTCAGCTTTTGGTACTGATACCTACACCAAACCTTGCTATCCCACAAGCCTCGTTATGCGCAGGACTGAACTTACTGAATGTTTCTTTACTGAAGAAAAAAAATGCATAACCAGTAAGTGGTAGGTAACACTGTGTACTCTGAAGTAGATGCCTTTCCACTGGCACAGATCAAATAGGTGTTTTCTCTCTACATGTGCGGGAACCAGAAGAATTATTTAAAAATATTAATTGCATCATATGCACGGAGAAATCGACAGAGCATTAAACAAAACAAAGGGAATCAATGTGCAAGCAAAACCCTGACTGGCGAAGGGTATAAGGTTAATAGGAAATGATCATAGCAGAATTGAGTTTTCCCCATTCATTTAGCTAGGATCAGCTCTGTCTGACAGCAGAATTTGATTTACTGGTTGATAAAGCCGTGTATACATTTTCTCAGACAGTCTAAAAATCATTCCTCTTTTCCTGGCCAAGGAAGCTTTTTCTCTGTCAAATACCAATCGCTCATAGCAAGAGAACAGTTGACAACAACCTATAAATATTAAATGGGGCTATTAGCCAGTAAATATTTTGTCAGAAATTTGCAAAACTACTAGTGAATAGTTTCCTTTATGTAAGCAAAAGTTCCAGCTATGGTATGCTTTCATATACTTCACTTAAAAGTGCAACAGTTACCCTTCAGTTCACTAGGGAGCAAAGCTTAAGTAAAGCTTTGATACCAGACAGCTTGTGGCATACTGAGAGTTATCCTATATGTGAAATCCTAGGACTAAAACTAAGTATCTTTAAAAGGAACAAGCAGAGGAAGAAACATCATGTACAGTAAGTGATTTGGTAAAAGACACAACTATTTAGATTTGAGTTGAGATTCAGACAAAGATCCGATGTAAGCTACCTTACTTAATTGTACTTCAAAGAAGATAGTAGCTGGGAAGATCTTCTGCATCTTCTGAACCAATAAGCTATACAGCCAGCTGGAGTCTACCCCCTCTCAAATGTGGTTGCCCAAGTCTATTTGGAAGCTGAATTTGGCCTGTTCTGGGGAAAGTGTCATCTGTCTGCGGTGTGGGAAAAACATTCTGGTTTTCTATCATTTCTGTAGATATGCTCACCCACATATGCTAGAGTCATAGGAAACTGCATGATTCAGACGGCGCTCTACTTCAAAAATCACTGAAGGGAGTCTTACGGAAATTAAAACAATTATCACTAAGGATATCATAGGAAACAAAAATTAAAATTTCAGAACATGTCAGTATTGATATGCCTTGGAAAACATTGCATTTTTCATTATTTTCTTGGGCTATTGTCATTCATCTTTACCAATTCTAATCAATTATGTCTCTTGCTCCAAGGAACAAAGTATGTTTTCAGAAGTCTACAATTCAGTCTTACACAAAGACATTTTATAAAGAGTTCTTCATATGCTTTTATTTTATCCTGCCAGGATCCATTAATCAGAGCGTTCTCCCTCCAGGACTGACTGCTCAGACTAGGGAACTGATAAGGTACAGCTCTCTTCTCTTTCCTCTGTCCAATTTAAGATTTCTTTTCCCCACTGTTTGCATGTATCTACACTACCATAACATATATTTTGAAGCAAAGTGAAGCTCTTCTCCTAAGAATTAATGTTCTTAAAAGAAAATCAACATAGCTCAGTAAGAAAGACTAACTCACAGGACATGAAAAAAATCCTTTTTCAGGAAAAAGGAAAATGCTTGAAGTCTGGATTTGAAAAACCTGCTGTTCTGAGAGCGCTGGCCACCTAGTGCATGCTTGGATTTGCTGTCTGCAAGGGACTCCTGACAGCACTAGTGCAGTCTTCAACTGTAAGTCCCCAAAGTGCAGTGTTATAGACAGATGGTTCATGCTTTTAAGAACAGAATTTTGTTAAGAGTTGCAGTCATTGTGCCTTGCCAAAGCAGCAGTAATAAAGGAGCATCAGAAGACAGAAAAGGTGGTTATTATGGGACTTACCGAGAATCTCACAATCTGCCAGGAGGTAATACACTACAAAAGCTACTTCAAATACAGCACACAAGTGTATATTCTGCAAATTCACTGAGCTGCTGTAAAATTACCTTATATTAGAGAAGTTAAAGAATATAGTAATTATATGTGAAAAAATAAATTACTTCTCCCATGTTTTCCTGGTGATTGAGATATTTATTTTTTCTTCTTTGTGTCTGTTGGCTGCCTCTTTTATCTTTTATATTCCGCAGCACAATCAGATAGCAGTAATTATCAACAAGCTTGATCCTGCCCAAACTGAAGTGAATGGAAAACTGCCAATTGGGCTCAAAGGGATGTGAAAATGAGTCCCCAAATTAGGGAATAATAATAATCACGGTGGTAATAAGCTAAGGCTTCAGTGTTCCTGTCACTTTTGCTTTGTGTAGCTTTACTTATTTGCTTTAGGAAGAAAATAATACGGGGGCATGTAAAAAGAATATTTTGCTCATACACATTAGACATGCAGCTGCCATTTCTGTCTCTGGACTGACATAAATAGAGAGGCCATATCATAAGCAGCATAAATTGCAAAATCTCCTCTGCGGAGCTTCTGACTTACACGGATTACCTGGCCTGGAATTTGTACTTCCAACATTGACAAAGGCTGGAGGCTCCTCCCTGGGGAAAAGGCCAGTCCACTGTTACCCTGAGAATACATGCTCAACCTCAGACAAATAACAGAGAAGCTATTAAGCTGTTCTTGCTTGTCTCACCTGATGTCCATCTGAATAGCTGTCTCTTTAGAAAGCTGCTGTTAACTGCTTCTGAATCTGTGATTTCAAACTGTAAATTTATACAAATCTTTTATAAGAGAGTTTACCACCTGTGATACTTAGCTGAATTGAGTGATTATGCGCATACAATGATTGTTTTTGAGCAAATTCTGTTTTCTTTTAAAGACAAATGGGCCACACCAAAGGCAGCAAGTCCCAAACTGCTTACAGTCTCTAGGGAACTCTCATGGAAAGGAAGGCAAAGCCCATCAATAGCCATATAATTTAAGGCAGATGATGATTCAGTGGGTCAAATCATGACAGCAGAGGTAGGCCCCATTTCCTGTCTTAAATTATCCTTCAGTTTTGACAGACTTCAGCAGCCTTTGCAGCTCATTCAGGGGTCACCGTGTTCCACTGCTCCTACCCTGCTGCGCTGGGGCAGCCATCTTGCCAGAAGCTGAAAGAAATCTTAGCCCTTTCCTGACTGCTCATGTGTTTTGTTTCTGGAATAGACCCACCTTCTGTGATAAAACTAGCTCTCTGACATCGTTGTCACAACGCGCTTGAAAACACTGTCTAAATCCATGGCCAGTTTTGGAAAGAGAGGTCTCAGAAATACGGTATTCCTCCAAGTTTCGTGAAAACGAGTAGCCAGGCACAGCACTGAGACCTTCTGAGCGGTCCCACAGATGTAAAGGCTGAGGCGGCCTCAGGCTCGTCCACCCCACAAGGCCGCAGGCAGCGAGCTCACCCAGAGGCACAAGATGGCCGTCCAGCACCTCACCACACGGCTGGGCCAGCCAAACGCACAGAGGAGCGGGGGCAGAAAGTCTGAGAGACACGGCAGAGAGCAAAGATCATTTGAAGACCCAACGGGCCATAGGCAAGAGCTGCTGATACGGTGTAGGGCATGAGCTGCAGAAACGAGGCAGGCAACAGAGCGACAGC